TTATTGGCATAAATATGAATACAATTAAAATATAACTTAAGAATTGAGTTAAACTAATGGCAAGTATTTAGGGATTAATTGTAAAAACTATTCATTTGGTAGTCGTTTCCAACAGTTTTTGCACTTTAGTTATAAAAGGCTTTAACCGGAAGTCGGCTGACGTGCGGAACCCAGTCTTCACCAATCGGTTCCACACACTCTTGGGATCGTACGACTAAAATGTCACCAAAACAATGTCAATCAATCACTTTTGGCCATCACTTGACGTGTGTAGCGATAGTCACCTGAAGAGTGTATGGCTTCCACTGCTTCACATCGACGCCCGTCTTCTGCGTGACAAACGTCTGGACCTGTTGTCCATATTTGGTGACAATCACCAGCTTGGCGTCGATGTCCTTATGGCTCAGTTGTGACCACAACCTCTGCTCTACCGTCAGATATGTCACTCCCAGAGCTGTTCCTAACCTGCAGAGCACACAAAGAGGCCATCAGTGCCACGACCACCACATCCCACACCACTCATGTCTTATGCGATACTCACTTCAGAGACTTCTTAACGATTCCCATAATAATAGTCTTCAAATTGACCACAAATTGACCACAAATTCAATGCAATGTTTACAGACATTCAGACCTAACTGTAAGTGTTTGCAAAGCGCTTGTGAATCGTTTCAATGCTTTTCAATGGCATTACGTCTGCAAGAGTTTGCCATCACTTGTACGCCTATGTGTTGTGTCTGACCTTCACTTGGATTGCATTGTGTGAACGGAACCATTGTTTTATGCATTCATTTGTTTGGTGCCAATCATTGCTTTCATTTCCATTCATTTTTGTCTTATTTGTGTCGTTCATATCCGTAGCAAACAATTCATTATTTATGCGTTAATTGTACTCAAGTTTGGCTCATATTTTACTCATAGACTCTCAAAAGTGGCGCTCATTCTCAGTCTGCAATGAATCACGTTTTGAGGGGATTTATGTCAACAGTTATATTATTTGCATTCAATTTAATGTTAAATCTATGGGATGTGTAAGCATTGAGTGGAGTGTGGGGTTCGCCTCATTCATAGCCCAATATAACGTGCTATATGTGAGACCTATAGTAAGCGGTTCGCCAGCGATTGGATGCAAACAATTTGAAGACAAAAATGGACTCAATATTGGGTCTCAACGTTAGTACGACTTTGTAGACCAACTTTCAAATCAATTTAAAGTTTATAAAAATAAAAAGTATCGCACAAATTGAATATCACCTTGAGTGAATCAACTTATAGTTTGTCTTGATGGGTTAACTTTTAAAATCTAGCTACTACTTCAATATAATAACGAACTTTTATAATACACTTTACTTTGCTATACACTAACAGTAATCAAAACAATGGCAAACATTTAACGGCTTTTATGAATAAAACAGTGTAGTATATAATCACGAATTTTAAATGATTAATAATTGGCATATTAAACTAATTAAATCTCACCAGAATAGTAGTCTTAACAGGGGTTACTAATAGTGGTGGGGTTGATAAGGAGGCGTTACTATGGTAGGGGGCAAAGGGGGCCGTGAGTTGTGTGTGACGTGTTGTCTGTACTCGTGGTGTGAAAGTGAGTGTCTTCAAGCATTGTATGAATGCGTGTTTGGAGTGTTAGTCGGCGTTCGCCATACATTTGTCGGTCAGTGAGGGCTCACTGTTTGACTCACTTGTTGTGTCGACTCAATAGTGAGTGAAACGACTAAAAGACT